CCCATTTCTCCCACGCATCCGGTTGGGAGCCAGTTGGATCCAACTTGGGACGACTAACAGAGAGAGGGAGCGTGTGCCGGGGCTACCGTAGACAGTAACAGTCTCTGATCCCCTCTGCGGCCGAAATACGCTTTCTCTTGGATCGTCTCGTCAGAGAATTACTTGGCATATACGCAGCAGTAAATCACATATTCGTTTCTTCGACCAAAAAATGAATATTCCATGCGAAAGGGTATCAAAAACGATTATTTGTACAACCCACGCTATCAAGCATTATTTTAACTATTGCTTGATGTTTATTAATAATTATTGCAAACAATAGGTATAAAAATATGGACAAATTCGAGGAGACTGAAAGTTTCTTTGAATTTCTGTCGAGAACCAAGGGTATACATCACGTATTCATTTCTTCGATCTTCTGCTCTTTATACGATACTTTCTTTTGTATAAGTTTTCACTTTTCTTTTCTTATCAGTAAATTATACAGGATTCTAACAAAGATATGTAAACTGCCTCACTAAAATCGCAAAACAATATATTGTAACACCCAACAAAACACATATTAATGCACACAAAGAGAAGTTGTGTATTTTGGATCGTAAATTTGGAAAATATTCAAGCATTGAGGGGTTTATCGAGGTGTCGGCCAATTGAAACGATTTAAAAATATTAAAACGATTATAAATATTATATTAAAAAATTTCAAATCGTTCTGGAAAAATTATTTTCAGTTGCGGAGGTCAATTAGAATCATTTTTGGTAATAGACATATCCTTCAAATCCTACGCATTTTCAAGAAAAAGAATTTTCGTCGAGGTTACCCTAGGTAGTAATCGCAATTGTAAAAGAAATACAATAAACATTCCAAGCTACCGTTTTTCTTTTGATGCTATGCGAAACACACAAGAGGTATACGAATAGACCTTTCACCTTATGGACTTTGATGATCCAATTTGACTGTCATACCGAAGTATTTTTTAAATAAATTAGGATTTTCGGTGTAGTTGTCAATGGGGTACATCCTTAGGTATTTTAATAATCTTGAAATCTTTAAATAATCTTAATCGATTGGTTACTCCAATGAAATTAATCGTTTGATGCCCAATTCTGGACCGTACAGCTTTTATTCCGTTAAAAAATAATAAAATTTCTGTAATTTCATTTTCTGTCTCACTTCCTTTTGTGTTAATTTCTAAATCTGTTGGTAACGTTGCGAGTGACACGAAAATGGTAATGGGGTCCCGGGACCCCAGAAAAATGGCCCGAAAAAATACATTAGGTGAAAGGTCTACTCGTATACCTTGTCTGTGACCTTACATCCAATGCATTTTTTCGGGCCATGTTTCTAGGATGTCGAGACCACATTTTCATGTTCATGTCATTCGCAATATTATCAACAGGTTACAGAAATGAACACAAGAGGAAGTGAGACAGAAAATGAAATTACAGAAATTTTATTATTTTTTAACGGAATGAAAGCTGTATGGTCCAGAATTGGACATCAATCGATTAATTTGTTTGACTTTCTATGGAAATGTTGTATAATACTTTTTTTTAGGTATCACATGTACTTACGTACCCACACAACAGCTATCTGCCCACAAATACTAATTCAGTGAATAGTTTCTCAACTGACGGCCATTCATGAGAAGAGGCCGCTAAAATCACCTCTGAATTTTCAGGTCGGTATGGCAGTCAGATTCGGCCACGAAAGTCCATAAGGTGCAAGCACAGACGAGATATATGAATAGACGTTTCACCTTATGGACTTTCGCGGCCGAATCTGACTGCCATACCGACCTGAAAATTCGGAGCTGATTTTAGTGGCCTCTTCTCATGGATGGTGGTTAGTTGAGAAACTAGGCACTGAATTAGTATTGATGGGCAGCCAGCTGAGTGGGTACGTAAATACATGTGAGTTGATTATGGGAGGGATTGGAAAAGACAGTGGAGTATTATCAGACGGCAGACCCGTGCCCAAAGGGAACTGCCCCACCACTCACACACACTAATGCCAACCACCTTGTATATGAGTTCTGGCGTTTCGTATAGCTTCGTAGATTCGAGAAAGGCGGCGAATGTCAGTCTATCCTTCTTGCTCTCACCACAGCTGAAATTCGATCTCGCATATTCTCGAGCCGAGATTCTCGACTGCCTAGGCATTTTTGACTTTCTGACCTGTGTAGACATATACAATGTATAAGCAATATACCATAATGAAGAAAAAATTACAAAAATTTGTTTTTACGGAAATACACGTTTTAAAACGATAATATTTTATGAACATATTTTAACCCTTTGCACTCGGTCGTCCCCTCTGAGGGGACATGAAAGTTTATTAGTGATTAAGGAGAATGAACTGATTTCACCGCAATTTTTTAAGAAACACATGTTTTCCTGTACTTTCCTATTAAAATGGGAAATATTCTATTAAAATGAGAAATATATCAGCCGTTTTTACGTTGAAGTGGAAGGATTGTCGATGATGGTCAGAGGCGTATGGTCGGATTCAAACACGTGGACAATAAACGTAACTATATAAACTATATTATTTAATGTTTACTGAAATTATTTAACATAAAGAACATAAAACGTAAACGTAAAAAACTATAAACGTAAAATCGAAACTTCATTCAAAGTCGAACCATTCCTATTGCTATCTTCGTTATAATCTAAATAAATTAACGTTCTTTGTCGGACAATAGAATGAATAATAAGCTACATATTCCAAATGTAGACCAAAGAAACCGGGACTGCATTATTTGTTCCGACAGGAAAACACCAGGAGAAAGACGTCAAACAACATTTTATTGTGAAACATGTATAAATCAACCTATGTATATTGGGAATTGTTTCAGAATTTACCATACCATAGAAAATTATGAGAAATAAATTTTTATTTTTTATTTTCTATAGATACATCGAGGCGGCCGGCAATGAATGCGTATAACAGCTGTGCTTAAAAACTCGATTTGTGTAGCCGGCCGCCAAACGGCGGCCACGCATTCATTTTCTAATTCAATTTTCTTTATTGATATTATCAGAAGTGGGAAAGATTTCAGCCATTATTTCGACAAATTTAATTATTAGATCATTAGCATGATATTGTCGACGGAAGAAGAATTCACCTAAATAGCCTACATAATGTATTTGGCGAGTTCCATACTTCAGAATATTCGAACCTTTGACAACAATGCAGAACTAGATTTAGCTCGACACATTATACATTATTTGTCGTCGGTTGTTATGCCGACTAATACAAACAAGAGAAAAAAGCAACGATCGTGGACTGATGCAATACAGAGCCACAGATATGTACATATAGACAGAATTTATTGTAGTAGTAGCGATCTTTTTGAAGAAAAATCTCGGAAACTAAGGCCGAGCGGCGGTTATATGTATAGGAAAAAGTTGCTAAAAATGTTGATTTCTACAACATATTCAAAAATCATCGAAATCGGTGAGACCCGGCCTTTTCTAAATAATTACCTCATTTTCTTTCAATAATTCTCCATTGCAAAAATTCTACAGTATTCTTACATTTTTTTATATTTAAAAATTTTCCCATGTTATTAGAAAGTAGATATACAACGAAAGTTATACAATTTATAGTTCCTAGCATGTATAACATGTATATGTATATAACGCATGGTCGCTTCGTATGGAAAGTCAATGAATCTTCAAAAAGCGCCCAGGTCTGATTTCGAGAAATGTAAGGTCTGTCAGTCACGATGGCTTTTGTCGTTTACTGACGATTCGAACGGTTGCGATGCCAGGCTTGCTTTCGAGAAATGTAAACGACGTCAGCGATGCAAGAGCGAGAAGGAAAGCGAGTATCAGCCTGTTCATCTCGGCTCTTCCGAAACTCAACGAGCTCACGTACACGCAATTGAGCATAGTGTGCGAAAGCGAGGAATGAGGAGTTTCCGGGGCCCCGATGCACAGTCTGATTAAACTGATTTCGAGTCGCAAATACGTTTCTGCCGAGTTATTTTTTTAATAAATGATGTATTACAATTTAAAATAAAAAATAGAGAATTTGCGGTGTACGTATCAATGAAATACATCCTTATGAATTTTAATAATCTTGAAATTTTTAAATACTCTTAATCGATTGATTTCTCCAATGAAATTAATCGATTAATGTCCAATGATGCACCCTACAGCTTTAATTCCGTTAAAAAATAATAAAATTTATGTAATTTTATTTTCTGTCTCACTTCCTCTTCTGTTAATTTCTGAATCTGTTGATAACGTAGCGAGTGACACGAAAATGGTAATGGGGTCCCGGGACCCCAGAAACTCCGGCCGAAAAATTACATTACGTGAGACGTCTATTCATATATCTCGTCTGTGGTGCAAGGTCTATTCGTACACCTCATCTGTGCTCGTATATCTTGTCTGTGATTATAATAATTAAAAATATTTGTCGATCGCACATACTTGCGGCACGACAAACTTTGGCAGTCTGTCGTAAATGGCGGTATAATCCACTAAATAGTAATTGCATAGACCAGTATATATAATCTCAAGTTAATGTATAATACGCTTAATACGATGTAAAATTATACGTCTGCACAAAGAAAAGCAGAAATTATGAATTTCGTGTTGCTGTGTCGGAAAGTAGAATTTGGCGTTGTCTTGTAACGACAGGAACAGGAATTATTTCTTGAAAAACTTGGATATTTTGCCGTTGAGGGCATAGTTTTTACAAATAAAATTAATTGATGAGTAAAAATACTAGATTTAAATTCTGCTAAAGTCGATCTTGCAAGTTCCTATTGCAATTATATGCATACAATAATAAATATGGAATATAAGTTAATAAACAAATAAATAAGATGATACAGTTAGAACAATATAATTTTAGCATGTTTAGTTGAAATATCTAAGATTAAATTGATATATTGAACGGCTTTTCCAAACCGTATCGAAGGAAGTAGAATGCGAACGAAGCGCAGACGCAACTAGGATGTTTCGAACGGTGATAGTAGGTACAAAGTTTACTGGTAATCAATGGCGTAACATAATATGCATACGTTAAATTACTGGAAGATTATTAGTGCAACTGTGCCAAATTTACGGAAACAATGAGATTCGAAAGTTAAAGTTGTATTTTGGTTCAACCCAATAGCCTAACAGTTCAAAATGTCCGTTAACACGTAACAACAATTGTATAGTTTGTTTATTTCAAAAAGTGATAGCTGTGCTAACTAATAGCGGAATACAAATGCTACCCTAGCATAATTACCCTAACTACCTGTCCACTATTAACTACATTATTAGATTCCGTTAATAGGGTAAAGGGTAAACAATCATATGATGTATCTACAATAAAATTGGAGTGACAGTGCATGTATAGAATAAGTAATTTAGTGCATTGTCAATGATGTATACATCGAATTTAAAACGCGACATGATCTTTGGCGAAAAATATAAAAAAGGTAAGTCAGTGTTGATAGAATAAACCTATCCATAAAGTATCAACATATATTTACTTAACTGCATGATTAATTTACTTAATTCACATAATATTATTTATGTATTTTGTTATAACGATACACATAAATGTAACATGTTTTATTGCAATATGAACATAATATACATGTTAAAATTATTTCAACCAATTGGTTTTAATTGCACTCGCATAAGCTTTTGAGATGAATTTCTAACGTTAAGGAAGTACTTTTATGTATTATTATAAAACAACTCTCTTCAAATATAACTAATTATTGACAACCAAATCTGAGTATAGTAATAAATGTAAATATTTTAAACATTTTATCTACGTAATCTCATATATATTTTCCATTATCATATATTATTTTCTTTTTTAATAATATTATTTTTTTTATTTGGTGCAATGGTCCAAATATACTGTGCAATATACATTTTTTTTTTACATATATGAATTCTTCTCATCCTACAGCATAGTTATGATACAATGTAAAATGCTTTCTACAAGATAGGGCATCAGCTCATTATGCTCAAATTATGGTCAATACACAATGGAAGAAAAATTATGTGAAAGGCAAGTCCTATATCTTTGTTCGACCAATCACAGTCAATTTTTTCTTATGGAATCTTGTCGAAAATAAAGTATAAGGGTCGCAGCCTTCTATTTCAGTCTGCGACATAAAAGATAATATTTAAATTAATTATGCAAATGTAACTGCTATATAATTTTAGAATATAATGAAAAATATAAAAAAGCGAGTAATAGAATGTTTAATGTTAATGGTAGAACATTTGAACATAAAATATAAAACATCTCAGAAAGTACAGTGTTTTTAATGGTCATGACTTAACACTTTTATATGCAGTCTGATGAGAAAAATCAATTTATATGAAAAAACTTTTTCTCTTAATAATTTATTCGATAGAGTACTAATTGAAATGTGACCATTAATAACAAAAAACTTTGCAGTTGATTGTACAAATACCAAAAGGCTTTCAGTGTTTCACTGTGCAATGGGTCAGTATGTTAAAAATATCTTGAATTATATATTAACAAAAGTTTAAAATGATTTTGATTTAATTGTGCACATTATAGAAAACATATGATTATAAGTCAAATTAATATTAGAAAATAGGTATTGATACTATTCTAAGTAAGAAGTATTTAATGGCGAAGTGGAATAATTTGCTAATGCTTTATATTGATGCATAATTCTTATACATATAGACCCACCAGAATCAAAACACTTAATTATTTCCATTGTTTCTGATGGTACAAAAAAATATTTTAGACATGATTTGACTAGTTATCATCATTGCAGTATACTCAATTTATTACACTTCCCTATACTTATTTCACTATATCACAGTTTATTTTCACTTGTTGCACAAACATACAATCCTCCAAACGCGATCATGTAGCAATCGTGTTTTGCAATTTTGCTAATTTCCATAGAGCATACTATTATTGCGTTCATTTCGTTTTTATATTCTTTTCCTGTATGTCTATGTTACTTACATTTTACCAACCTTATATCCTATGCCAATTTTAGATAAAAAATAAAATTTATTCGTTTGAGTAGAAAAATTCAAAAATCGTCCGCGACTAGAAGATTAATAAAAACAAAAAAGGTTATACTGCTACTTATGTATATTTACTTCAAGATTGGATTCTCCCATTGTTATTAGATTTATACGTTCAGCATGATAATATAGTATTGTCCTTCCACGAGAAGAAGGTACAGCGTGTTTACATCCCCACTCTTGCTGCAATCCGCTGATTAGCTGTCACCGATCTTCGTCACCGTTTTCGGCTAATGCCAGTGAGTCAGCAGCTGCAACAGGAGTGGGGATTGTAAACATGCTGTGCCTTCTTCTCGTGGAAAAATGGTACTAGAGAATCATCATCATCTTGCTTCCTGTACGACTTCATTGAATTAGTTGGAAATACACATGTTTAGATCACGTTTAACTGCGTTGTTTTATTTTTTGCTGAATCCGCTATCATCGATATATTTTAACATCCGCTACAGGATACAAGACAAGAAGACACGTACTACTTCGACGCAAATAATATCGATAACATTGAAAAATTCGAAGACATTTAAACCGCGCCATGTTTCTTTTTCGAAACCAGTCAAACGATGCCATAAATATTTTTTGGTATCGTCCGAAGTAAATGAAAATAATTAGGTGTTCTAGTCTTGGTAGGACAGCCTGTATGTTATAAGCTTCTTGCACAATTTATCATAGAGATAAGTTCAAATTTGTTGCGAGTATCTTGACAACAAATATTACATATTTCAAAGAACAAACTTAAGTATGGGTAGCAGAGGAATCCGAGACATTTCCACAATATTTCATCCTCAACAAACTGATGCTTCAACTATTCTTGGTGACAATCAGCAGAACCATGGTTCTCGAAGTAATACCGGCCAAGTTACTCATGACAATTCCGGTAAGCATGTATCAATATACAATATTTATAAATACGTTATAACAAACTATGTGTAATGATTTACAGTAGAATGTTGATTAACTGTTTTATGCATTTATGACTGTACTTTTTCGTATAAAAACATTTATCTAACACTGATATTTTTAAGAAAATTAAACTAAGTGCTATGGTTTATAAGAGGCTTGAAGTATACATTTAATAAAAGACGATGTAATTCACAATAATGCACGCCGACCAATGATTAATCTACGATTGCGATTCGCACGCTTTACTACAATCGCACATGTGTGAAACCTGAGTCAACAAATGTTATTTAACCTCTTCAGGGAAGGTTGGACTATTTATTATTGACAGTAACTATAATTATAAAAAACTAAACGTCCACATATGTGGCCAAGGGCGTGAAGAGGTTAAATTATAACTAATTGTAAGAATTTAGCCTTCTTTTTGACAAATACAATGTTCTTGCTACAAATACTTGACGGTATTTTAAGAGTGAGAGATGTGATTAAACACTGTTTTTATTTTGGTAGTGTACTTTATTCTAAAGTTGTAGGTGACTCATGATGTAAGAAGGATAGAGGGATCAACTCTATCTCTACTCTTGTGGTTTTAAGTAAAAACTTCTGATACAGGGTGTTTTGCCGTTTGGCGTAAGTTTTAAAATCATGTTTAATTTTGGATATGTTGTAGTCTTTGTCGATACTGAAGTATCTCAAAGGATTTTTCAACATTTTGAGAATTGTTGAACCTACAAACATGTAAAGTTGAATACTACGTTTGTTCGAAAAATTGTATACAAATAAAACTTGTTCCGGTTGAAAAAACAGTTCGCCGGTGCAGTAGAGCAGGTCATTTGTTTCAAATAATTTAAACAAAAAAATGGTGAAGAACAATTTTTATTTGCTAGTTACATCCTTTGCTAGTTCAGCAGCTATAATTTTTTGAAAAAAGATAGCACTCAACTTTACATGTCTGTAACTACAACAATTTTCAAAATCCTTTAAGATACACTTAAATATTGTTAAAGTCTACAACATATTCAAAGTTGAACTAAATTTGAAAACTTACTTCAAAAGGTGTTCGATTTCGTGTGAAATAACCTAGTATATAGATCTTAGTTTTTCCAGTAGACTTTGCGAATGTTTAACTAGTTATTTATTTTTCAACGCAAACACTGCTATTTAACGCGTTCACTGACAAATCGAAAACCCTTATATACCAATTTTCATTTAGATTAAAAAACGTCTTCGTATTTTGGCCACGTTTTTGCGATTTGGGACTACTGTGCCCCGTCCGGGTGACCTTTACGTCCATTAGGATGTAGTGGTGGTCACGGATGAGATCTCTCCAAGTGTGATCGACTACGAGCGCCCCCTCGAGCCTACAAACATTGAGTGTGCGGTCAAGACCTTCGCCAAGATCCATCTAATCTAAACTTTACCGACTGCCGTGAGGGGACATCTAACACTTACAAAGCACAACGTCATGGTGGAGCGACGGATCTTACTGACCTTTACATTCTCTGCAACACAGCCCAACTGAGATACAAAGGCATCCTTGACTTCTATGCGGATAACGAAGTCGTACAGAACTGTGGTGTCATCTACCGTACTCGCCACCAGAGGGGTCGCTTTCTCGCAAGCGCTTGACTCACCCTTCTGTTCCTATATATACGCTCCTCGACCAACTACCTACTATTCCGTCGTCTAAGGCAGGGCCTGCTAGGAAGCCTTACTTTGTTGACGAGTCCATTAGCAGGCTTGGGACGAACCGGCCCTCTCTCCTTTCTCCACCAGCAGAAGCAGTGCCACAGGGGGCCCCATCACCCTCAAATAGATGACCCCGGCGTCTTCGATAATTGGGCCCTATCCACCTTCATGATTGTCCTTGGTCAAAACTTCCTACAACATGGCTGGTCCAAACTACGTATACTGTCAAATTCTCGGGGATCTTTCAAGATGATTCCTCCATAACTCTTCCTCTCTCTCCTTTTCGCATGTACCTCCGCAATTTCAAGTTTAGGTTCGATTCCCTCAGTTGGCTTGCGGTCCTTTTAAAGGTGGGTGCCTCCATCAGCCGAAAGCGCAAAATTAATTGGACGCGCCTTTGCGAATGTATAGACGATGGTGTGCAATTTATCCATGACTGCAGTTTGGGGTCCAATTCACTTTTAAAAGATGACATCCGCTGCTATTTGCAGGTTCTTCTTAAAATCGTAGCGATGCATAATCTGGAAATCTTCTAAGCTGGTGGCACCAAAGCAAGCTTTTTTAAGCTTGCACACGTACATGCGTGTGCCATTCAGTCTTAATAGACCTGGAGGCAAAAACTGTCTTGACCTTCTCCAACTGGACGTGCATTATTGCTGCCAGGGCACTTCATTTCCTGTACCACGTACTGGAGAATTCTTCTCTTATCCCTTTCTTCTGTGAAAGTTGAATTAGTTAGTTCGTCTAATAAGTCCCCGGCTGGGAGTTGGGAGAACAGGTCAGGATCATCCGTATCCTTATTGTTAGTGATACCCTACGTGTAGGAGCTCGTCGTCTAATCTGACATAGTTATATTTCATATAAATTGTAGAATGTCACATCACACAAATAAATTGATAATAGAAAATTAATACTTGAATATGTGGTTTTGCTTATTTCACACCAATCCTCTATCCAAATTTAAACTCTTGTATCGAGCTATTTTGACAACGTTCTTCGCATTTGCGAATATTGAATATTAGCTATTTTAATCTTGTTGTTTATTGTACTATTGTATTCCCAGAATAATGATAAAACATTTAGATATATCTATATCATACGATGTTAATGACAGGACTGTTATATAGTGTTTCTTTTTTCAGTTTTAAACATAGTTTTTGTGATCGTAAACACTTGATATTGTTTATTTAGGTTGTGAGCAACAGCAAGGATGCAGCGTCATTGTTGGCTGTGGTGATTCCGCGCCGAGTTGTCGTCCTATAGAGACAAGCGGAAGTGGAGTCGCTGCTGAGGGAACTGGTGGTAATCCAGGGCATAATACGGGCCAAACACAAGTTCAATCTCATATGACCACGCCTCCAGTTACTTACCAACGAAGGCCTAATTCTTTATCCGCTTGTTATGCATCGTGTTGTGCTGAATCTGCAAAAAAGGTTCATTAAATCTAAACAATACTTATGTAGCACAGAAATGTGGAATAGATAATAGTAAGGATAAATTATAATTTATTATAAGTTTATTTTGAAGAATTAGTATTTTTCTTTTTTTTTTTAGGAAAAAAAATCTGTTCTATACCTTCAGCGTTAAAAGATGACAAGTTGTGTAGTTGGTGGAACAAATATAGCGGTCTATGTAAATCTGTTTCTAGTGCTTTATTTAACGATATTCATGTTAGGTGTAAACTACCGAATGAGTCTGTCTTTACAAGATATCAATTGTTACAACGTTTTATTCGTCTTCGAACATTCAGATCCTTAAAGTTTCAATGCCCAACAACAACCATTCTTTCAAATAGATTCTCAATTTTTAGCATTCTCTAGTCAAAAGTGTTACCGCTTTAGTAACCAACAATTATTACGAGACCGTTATATTTATTTCACCGAGTATGCCTAAACGGTGATTTTTATTAATGTTCGCACATTGTGCTATTCGATAAATTATTGCGCGTTTTCATTGACTGTAACAGTGTTTTTGTATTTATTGTTTTGTAATGTAATAAAGTATTCGTTATAGTTAGTAGAAACATGAATTTGATTTATTTATTGTACACAATTTGTTACATAATAAACGAGAAACCAAATATTGGCAAAATTTGACATCGCAAAAATATTTGGACGGTTAACATAATTGGACAATTAATATTACATATTGATTTAATAAATACATATTATTTTGTATTTCTTTTTGATGATTTCATGGTGCATTTCCTGGGTTTGGAGGAGAATGCCGGTTGTCTGATACGTACTTATCTAACTACAGTAAATCTTGGATGACTGAGAGAAACACGGAACCGAAGTGTTTCAGTTATAAAAGCACGATTAATTTTCAGTTCCCAGAAGGACACAAGCCGAGTTACGGCGCGTCGTTAACTACAAGCTGTTCAATCGCCATCAATTCGAATAATTCCCTCTCTTTAACTTTTCGATACATATACATATACAGGGTGCACCAAATGAAGTGTTACAAGTTATTTTATCAGAATTTAATAAAGATATCGATTTCATTTTTTTTAAATTAAATGATTCGGAGGGATCAATCTTTTAGTTCCTCATATTCTCCTGAGTAAAATGAGACCAAACATAACATATAACAAATAATACAAATACATTATTCTTCATTATCAGATCAGATCAATTATAAAAATAAGTTGTTATTTATTATTATACAGGGTGTTCGGCCACCCCTGGGAAAAATTTTAATGGGGGATCCTAGAGGCCAAAAAGGGACGAAAATCAAGAATACCAATTTGTTGATGAAGGCTTCGTTAAAAAGTTATTAACGTTTAAAGTTCCGTATTGAATTCGTACTGAATTTTTTTCTCGAAAATGCGCAAGATTTCGGGGATATGTCTATACACAAAAAATTATTGTAATTGACCCCCGCAACCGAAAATCATTTTTCCAAAACAATTTGAAATTTTTTTTTCCGTCGAAAAATTTAGGCACCTAATTAGATTTTCGGGAAGGAATATTTTTCTCGAAAGTGCATAGGATTTCGGGGGTATGTGTAATGACCAAAAATGATTGTAATTGACCCTCGCAACCGAAAATAATTTTTCCAGAATAATTTGAAATTTTTAAATTTATTTGTTAATAACTTTTTAACGAAGCCTTCATCAACAAATTGATATTCTTGATTTTCGTTTTATTTTGGCCTCTAGAATCCCCCATTAAAATTTTTCCCATGATTGGTCGAACACCCTATATTACAATAATATTTTATAAATAGTTCTATAAATTGTTTCACCATCACTTTATTTTCAAATGTTTTATTAAAATTGTATGCACCGAAATCAGCAATTTAATGGTAAAAATATACTCTTGAATTTTCCGTAGCTGCCCTCTATTTCTCTAAAATCCTGGAAATGATTCACATAATACAATGAACATCGATATTTAGTAATTAATACTTAAGAAGATTATATGTGTCATATGTTGAATTAAGGAACCAAAACTAGAAAAACCAAACTACACATATAGTGGATTTAAATAACAGCGTAACTGTCTATTTTTTATTACTTTACACAATCGAACTCACGATAGACTGAATTGTTTAGATTTTTAATGCGCGTACAACGTGTTTGCCTGTGTGTATATATATGCGTGTAGTGTAAGCATTCTAATTGGGAGCATAATACGCCTTATTTATTCTCTTTCACGCGGACTTATTATTATTGCAGATATACTTCGGTGTATGTGTTACGATATGTGTCACAGCAAGTTGGGTCGGTGCAACGCATTGTATCAAATATTTATATTTTCACAAACTGGAAGATCCAACCTACCCATCGCCATCGAATTCATCTGTCACAGGATTACGCCATCAACATGTAAGTTTATTTTATTTTCAGTTTACTTTGAATAAAAGTACAATCTAAAATGAAACGATTTATTAAATATTCGTATTTAATAAATACGAGAGATGCTGTTGCATTATTATTACGGTTATATTGCCGATTCTATTCGAAACATTTAATTTAAAAATTTGGGCTAAAAATTGAAATTAGTCAGTTAATCAGTTCATAGATTAAGATTTTTATTTTACATACGATTGATGCTTTTTCAATTCTATACATTCATTATGAAACTAGCTTAGTTTTTACTTTGGGATTACACATCTTCAAAATTATAGTATTCTTCTCACGAACACATAGTATTTCTAACGTTTTTGATGGCAACATAGCGTGATTAAAACGTTTCGTAATTTGCTATGTACATGCAAATATTATCCAAATTGTATCGTGTTTGGTTTTATTTTAATTAAAGAAATTACAGGAATATATTAAAACAAATTTTGTTCAAAAAGAAAAACAAGAAACAAAAAAGTGTAACGGTAATTATCTTGGGACACCCTGTGTATGCAAATATTATAAATTCTTCGCCAGTTTAGTTGACTTTTATATTTAATTATGTTAGATAAGTGATAATATAGTTTTAGATTAACGTTATTTTAATTGTACTTTTTTGAAATCTTTTCAGACGGTTCCATATAATGCCCCTTTCTTTACAACTTGGTTTTGCACAAATTGGGAAATTCTATACTTTCCAATTTACTTTCTTTGCCAAGCTGCAAGAATTAAATGTAATACCCCATCTGAAATAATCGCAGAGAATTTACGAGGATTTCGCGATAAAGGCTTCACCGGTGGTCGTTTTTTGATCAGATGTAGTCTTTTTTGCGGACTATGGGTGATCACAAACTATATGTATATTTATTCGCTCAGGATATTACTAGCTACCGATGTAATGGCACTTTTCGCGACAAACGTGTCATGTGTCTATTTGTTATCGTGGGTAATACTCCACGAACAGTTTGTTGGAGTAAGGGTTAGTAGTATTTCTTCATAACAGTTATATAATTTTGACAATTACGTTTATAACAAGATGCACAAAAAATGTCGCAGATAGTAGCTGTAATTTTATGCAATACTGGAATTGCACTGTTAGCGTACATGGACGGAATAACTGGAAGCCCGACATTGGGAGGTGTTGTTCTGGCAACATCAGCAGCAGCCGGTTCTGCAGTTTATAAGGTAAAAAATACTCTTGAAATTTTTTCTTAAAGCGCTGAACACTCTTCACTGGCGGTGCATGACAAGTAGGAGCTCGGGTTCGAGCCGTCAAGAAAATGGGGGCAGAATTTAGTCGAATGGTTCCGAAACAAAGCAGCTGCCTGGGATGGATCGTACGTCCTTGTTTTTCCCATTTGAAAATAACGAAGGCAGATATATATATATATATGTGTGTCAAAAATCTAAGAAGTAATTCTAGAGGCCAATTTAAGACGAAAATCAAGAATAGTAATTTGTCGATTGAGGCTTCGATAAGAAGTTATTAACGTTTAAAGTAGCGCCTGTGAGACGGCAACCTACGAACAGCCGCGTAAGCGCGATAGTGGCACGAGAAACTCTACTTACCGACGTATCGACAGCCTTACAGCTTTGTGAGTGAGAACCACTAGGACCGACCTATCGCTTGCATGCAGTTGTTCGCAGGTTGCCGTCTCACAGGCGGAACTTTAAACGTTAATAACTTTTTAACGAAGCCTCAATCACCAAATTACTATTCTTGATTTTCGTCTTATTTTGCCCTCGAGAATCATCCCTTAAATTTTTGACGTATAGATGCCGTTTTCTTGATGACTCGAACCTGGGTTTCGCCACCTTTTCGTGTCGCTGTACAATTACGACTCTGGCACTTCCGAATAGTAATAATTTCGTAATAATTGCGGTATTAATCTATATTAATAAACATTCAAATGACAACATAAGTCGCGTGTTTTGCTCGAAATGTAACATGAACGAAATCGGCTTGAATAATAAAAAATCCTTTTTACTATTGTTCTTTATTGTTGTTTTCGCGGTTCATTTTCAAGTTTCTTCCTCGAAGTCAATAGATTACTATGCGATCATTAACCCTTTGCACTCCGAATTATATTTCAATTTTGTTATCAGCTGCTGCCAACGCTTTTAAGTGTTTTATTTAAAATTTACGTTAACTAAAATGTAACGCAATTTAAACGAATAGAGGAACAAACAAATTAAATTAAATATCTGTTTTATTTACACTATTGTTGTATTTTGTAATTTTCAAGTGTACGATATCGCTTTGGTTTGGACTCGAAAAAATGTCGGGTCGCACTCGACATAGGAGTGGAAAGGGTTAAAAGAAAATGACCTTGGTAATGTCAATGAAAGTCAATTTTGCCAAGACACGACATTTTTATAGATCCTGCATACGCATACGTGACACAGTCATAATACTAGTATTATACGGTTAAACTAGTGTTCCATTTACGTTTTAAATTAAATTGCACAATTTTTAACGACCATTAAATGATATGGAATAGCTAATGTAATGTTAAACTAGGTGCTGTTTAAGAAAGTTATAGGAGAAACAACATTTGGCCAAATGTCTTTGTTCTTTTCTCTAATCGGATTGTGCAATGCGGCGTTATTGTGGCCAATTTGTTTGGCTCTATACTTTTCGGGTGCGGAGAGCGTACACTGGGGACGGTTACCATGGACAGCATTAATTTTAGCGAGTGTTCTTCATCTAGGTTAGCATCTCTGTCTCCTGATATTAGTTTCTTATATACATTATGTAAAATAAATACCCGGAATTTGTAAATAAAACTCAAATTGCTTACTTAATCATCCAAATTTATTTTGTCGCCTTCAAAGTAGGCCCCATCAGAAGCAATGCACATACGCCAACGCTTCTCCCAGTCTTCAAAACACTTTTTAAACGCTGAAGAAGGTAGCGCCTTCAGCTCCTTCCGCGAATTTTCTTTTATGGCCTCTATCGACTCAAAATGCCTTCCCCGAAGGGGTAATTTGAATTTCGGAAAGAAGAAAAAGTCACAGGCGGCTATATCTGGTGAATACGGTGCTTGTTCGATCACATTTGTTGAGTTCTTGGCCAAAAATTCGCGTACCAAGATCGATGTGTGCGACGGAGCATTATCGTGGTACACAATCCAAGAATTGTTTTTCCACACATCTGGCCGTTTCCGACGAATATTTTCACGCAAGCGTCTCATGACCCTCAAATAATATTCTTTATTTACTGTTTGCCCATCTGGAAGGAATTCCGAATGAACAACACCACGATAATCAAAGAAAACAGTGAGCATGATTTTAATTTTCGAGCGACTTTGTCGCGGTTTTTTAGGGTTTAGTTCATTTTCTAAGCAATATTCCGAAGATTGTTGACTTGTTTGTGTATCGTATTCATAAACCCATTATTGGAAGTGGATGAAAAAGCATTACTCTTTATAAGTAAAAGTGAAATTTTATTAGATGGTTCGGAAGGACGTCTTTACTCTGTTAAAACTGAACAAGAAGTGAAGCGACGTTTAGATCCCCTAAAGGAAAATCTGACATCCACTTAAAACGGAAAGAAACCATTGCCTGCATAATGTTTATTTCCCTGGTCCTCGACTACAAAGACAGACCCAGGCCCCTAGGCCCGATGGTGCCAATACGGTCATCGTATGCAGACAATGGACAGTGTTCCTCACTGTTAGATTCAGTTTTGTAAAGAATTATTTATTAATAATTCAACACCCATGTTTTGTCACCGGTTATGATGCGTTTCATGAAGGTAAAGTCACTAGAAGCTCGTAAAATCATGTCTTCAACAACTGCTTTTCGATGTTCTTTTTGCAGACAATTCAGCTCCCTCGGAACAAGTCGTGCAGCGACGCGTCTCATGCCCAAAACTTCAGTTAAAATGTTATGCACAGACGTGTGAGACATTTCCACTTCATGAGCCACCTCCCTAACACTCAGACGACGATTATCGATGACCATTTTTTTTATCTTTTCGATGTTTTCGTCAGTCGAAACCATCGATGGTCGGCCGGCACGCGGCAAATCTTGCACTTCTTCTCGGCTCTGTTTAAATGCCTTGTACCATTCGTATGTTTGTGTTTTTGATAGGCACCACTTGCCATAGGCTTTCTGTAACATTTTTAACGCTTCGGCACAAGAAATTTCGTTAGAAACGCAAAATTTAAGGTAAATTCCTTGCTTGACAGTTCTTTCCATCACAAAAATCGCAGAGCACACTCGAGATCGACTGGTGTAAATAACTGCCGTGAACACACTAGTGGTCATATTGCGATCAAATTTAGCGTAACAACTGAATACAATGTTGCTTACTTACCACAAAAATTTATTTCAATACATACACTGTGGGATTTGAAAGTGAGAAATTCCGGGAACTTATTTTACACAATGTATATCTCTCGAATAAAAAGAACAAATTTCTAGACATTACAACGTTATTTTATTATCGCTTGACAGTTGCAAATATGCTTGGTAACTTCAGTATCGCTCTGACATATGACTTGTTCATTACACTGGGATTAATCACAGCTGTACCCGTGTCTGCTGGTATGGTAAAGATTTAAAGATTTCCCTTACATTACCGTTATCGTTATTCAATGATTGATCAACGTTATTGCGTTTCAGCGTTGGATGTTGTTTTATATGGAGCCCACTTTATGGGTATGAAATTGGCAGGGATGATCTTTATAGCGGTTGGCTTCTTTCTCGTGATGTTTCCGGATAATTGGCCCGACTATATAACCAGACTACTTCGGTATGCAATTTAAAAGATATTTTCTAAACATAATTTGTGGTATGTTCACTAACTCGAAACTCATCTCTTTCTTAGTCTTTAGTTCTGTAGTAATTTTGCTAACGTTTTTTCCTATAACTTTTTCTCATACACGTAACACCGAAACGTACTTTGTTCATGTGTATACGTGTACGCATAAAGTGGGGCACTTATGCAGGCTATCCGAATAACATGTACATTTTTAGAGATGCAAAAAATGTTTCACATACAAAATGTTTGATTTCGATAAGAACATTAAGCCCTTTTCTCGTTCGAAATTGCACTTTCAACAACTCTTTAAGATAATTAACATTTTTTTATGTGGAATATTTATGTTGTAATAGAGAGCTTTAAAACGATTGAAAATGTTATGTTACACAAAGAAAATGTATATACAGGGTGTTCGGCTACCTATAGCAAAAATTTTAATGAGCGATAGTAGAGGCCAAAATAAGACGAAAATCAAGAATACTAATTTGTTGATGGAGGCTTCGTTGCAAAGTTATTAACATTTAAAGTTCCGCCTGTAGAATGACAATCCGCTAAACAGCTGCGTTCGCGCGGACGGTTGCGGCAGGCGAGTGCTAGTGGTTCTCACGCAGCATGAAAAATTCTGCTTACCGACATTATCGACAGCCTTAGATTTTTGTCCACTTATGGGAATGCGAACACCTTACGTTGAATAAGATTCAACCTGTCTTATGAAAATCCAGAAGGGCATATCAAAACTCGCCCGACGAGATTTTCACAGAGAAAGGGTGAATGCCAGTTCCAATACACAATGTTGTGAACAAAAATCACCCACATGCGATTATACACGCCCCACGATTGTCCACAGTGTCCACAAGTATCCACAAATAATCCTTTCAGGCACTAACCACTATGCAATTAAATAAACACGTACCGCGATTATGTTATTCGTGAATGTCTACGTGTACGTGTATCACGATTCTTCCGAGTTACTTACGAATAAAACTGTTATTAATTTTTCAAATACACTTCAATTTAAAAATGTAAACAGGAATTTAATAAGTATTCGCTGATTGTTTATATCACTGTATTTCTTACATACTACTTAATACATAACTGTTGCGTGGACTCTCGCGACCGGTAAAATTGGAGTGGCGCGAAAGGAACGCTTTCCGAAGAGTAAGTTATTATTATCGGAATAGTTGGAATAAATGTATGTAGTACTGAACGAGCATAGTTGACTTTTTGACTGTGTAACGTGGAATGTCTATTTCAGGTCTGATGTCGGTATTTACATGGATGGTGGAATGTTATTGGCTAATGTGTCGCGTTGTAGGAGTGTCGTTGGTTCTGAATGATTGGTGTAGTTGTTCTGTGTGGGTGTGGTTTGACTGTACTGGCGGAAAGGGCAGGCTCTGGTGAGGAAGCCCTTTCCGGGGTTGGGACGGAGTTTTCTAGTAAATTTGAATGTTAGTAACAATTAAGTGAAAGCTAGCCAAGTGAAAGTGCGCGCTAGCCGCGCACGTGCATTTCAGCTGTCTAGAAAACTCCGTCTTGGTTACCCTTGAAAAACAAAAGGCTGAGGGTCGTTTGCAGGCCCGGCCAACGGCTCGACCGAGGGCCTTGACTGTCGCCAACTAACCCTGCCATAAAGGCTAAATTGCGAGGTCCTGCTCGCGTCGCAACAATAACTGAATCAAATATGTCTAGAATGTGTGGCGTGAACGCGTTTTACGACTGACTAGCTGGCCGAACACGTACCGATGCTGCCCTTTGTCTCCGCTGTGTGTGAGAGAGATAAGCGAGGCGAGTGACGTAGAATCGGGGTCCTGTTCGACATTTGTTTTTCTGAACCTCGTCGATCGATGGCACAGTCAGCTGCTAGTATTGTTACATTCTTCGCCGTGAACGTAAATCGATGCGAAAATTTCATTTATCCTGCGATTCCTTTTTACATTTTTAAATTGAAGTGTATTTGAAAAATTAATAACAGTTTTATTCGTAAGTAACTCGGAAGAATCGTGATACACGTACACGTAGACATTCACGAATAACATAATCGCGGTACGTGTTTATTTAATTGCATAGTGGTTAGTGCCTGAAAGGATTATTTGTGGATACTTGTGGACACTGTGGACAATCGTGGGGCGTGTATAATCGCATGTGGGTGATTTTTGTTCACAACATTGTGTATTGGAACTGGCATTCACCCTTTCTCTGTGAAAATCTCGTCGGGCGAGTTTTGATATGCCCTTCTGGATTTTCATAAGACAGGTTGAATCTTATTCAACGTAAGGTGTTCGCATTCCCATAAGTGGACAAAAATCTAAGGCTGTCGATAATGTCGGTAAGCAGAATTTTTCATGCTGCGTGAGAACCACTAGCACTCGCCTGCCGCAACCGTCCGCGCGAACGCAGCTGTTTAGCGGATTGTCATTCTACAGGCGGAACTTTAAATGTTAATAACTTTGCAACGAAGCCTCCATCAACAAATTAGTATTCTTGATTTTCGTCTTATTTTGGCCTCTACTATCGCTCATTAAAATTTTTGCTATAGGTAGCCGAACACCCTGTATATATATATATGTATACTTAAATACTCATCTTACGAGTCTCTGTTTAATTATAAATAAAGAAATATGTCAATCTACTGGCAAATGGTTACTGACTTTAAAATGATCTGAACAGTTCAGCTTTAAAGAGAAAACACGACAATAAACAATATTTCCTACGAAAACTAACAACCTGTACTTAAAACATGTTTCTGTATCGATAAAAATACATGTGCTATTCAAGTAGCCAGTTTAAAATGTCATTTAAATATGCAGAATGTTTGCTTTAACGAGAATATCTAGAATATATCTACTGCTTTCGAAGATACGGGAAAAAGTGATGTATTGTTATGATTATGCTTTTTTCGTAAACTATATATCGCTACGTAAATAAAAATATATCATACTGTTTAAACAAATTTCTATGACCTTAAAATCTTGTAAAATCTAACCCAAAACAAATTTCATTACTTACGAGAATTATTGCCCTTTTAAAGCAAACAAACAACTTTTGTGAATCTTTTTTAAATCTTCAACAGAAACAGAGGTATTCTAGACGTTCAGGGTAAATCAAATACCCTATGTATAACATATTTCGTAATAGGTAGTACAACTATGAAAAGTAGCGACTCTATACGAAAAAAGAAATAGAAAGTATCGGATAAAATTTTTATTCGATAAAAAATCAATTTTTAAAATTCGTCTAGTACACGTGTAGTTAATTATAATTCTACTAAATGGACTTTATCATGGCTTATCTTGTATCAGCCCAAACAGCTTAGTCTTACTTAGAACGTAACTTCTCATTTTGTATCTGTACGCAGTTGTACCTTGCAGCAACCGAGAGTATATGAATGTAATTATTGCGTTAAGTACATGTCAATATCTGAGGTTTTTAAATTTTTTTCAAAACGATATCTTGTACGAACAAATTTTATTTTATATTTTCTACATACATTCATACTTTCGTATAAAGTCGTTACTTTGCCGATCATTATGTGTGTTACTTATTCCGAACGGTCATACGCCTACATGCACAGGATGTTTATATACACATATACAATTTTACATTTATATATTCCTCCTTTCCATTTTTGCAAGATTATTAAAATATCATTTATTTCGTTTTGCACCAATTTAGAAAATAGCACATAGTTCAATAATGTAGCATACGCTTGACACACAAAATTGCTTATAGACCTATTTGTACATTATTTTACCTTTCGTCTTCTCGGTTGCCTCGAAACGCATAAAAGTTCACTCTATAAACAATTTATTGCGAGACAATTTTAACACTTAATCATGTATTTGTTCATGCCCATGTTATTGACGCTTGCAATGCTCGTCAGTGACACGATAATTTAATTATGAATTTAATCTTGCCGAGTCGATGAGTTTACAAACAATGCAATCATAATAATGTCGCGATAACGGTACGTTACCGCTGTCCAAATAAAATTTGTCTTTTTTTACAATATGTCGTATCAACGTACGTCTGTAGGCGATTTATTGTGGGTAAACTAGAAAAATATAGGAATGAGATAATCGATGTATTAATTAGATTCACGTTCCAGCTTAATCCAATTGCAAAATGACTATGCGACTAGCGTTGGAACATTTCTGATTTAATAGCGTTCGAAGAATTCAGTGTTTTTTCTTTTGTTGGTAAATTCGTAATGGTCGAAGCAATGATCTTCAAATAATTTCGAATTAGATATAACTTTGTAATTATTTTACCGATTAGATATATTTAAGTCCTTTTTTGGATACTTTCGGTTTCCTTTTTAGCGAGTTTCAGCAATTTATCGCGCTAGAGCTCACCGTTCTCTGGTCTCTAGTGTTCGTTACTGTAAAAAGATAGCTACTAGGAGTGTGCTGGTACCCGATTTTGGTCATTAAACACTGGTAGTTCGGACGGTGACCGATCCACAAAGGGTCACGAAAGATTCGAACGATGACATATTTATAATTAAAATAGACACAAATTGTAGAGTACGTATTACATGTTCTCGATACACGATACGTACGAAAAATTTCAAAATATCGACTATTCTGTACTATATGTGTCCGTTTTAATTATAAATATATAATCGTTCGAATACTTTCGGAAGCTGTCTGAATTCGACGTTGTTCGATGGCCTAAATCGAGAACCAGCACACCACAAACAATATGTCACAGTTTGTCGACCTTATATTTCTTTTTTCTGCGTAGAAGACATTCGAAGCAGTTTTGTAGAAATTTTCTTTTGGCATTTACAGGTACTTCGTTTGTGTTTTTTAAATTGACAAAATTAAAAAGCAGCACTGATATTGTTTTACAGGATGCCTGGAATATGCAAGAGGTTTAAAGTGTAGAGATTTAAAATGAATACCATAGATAAGTAACGATAAGAAAGATAATGATTTTATAAAAATGGAACTTAAGTTTGAAAATAACGAATTTGTAAGATGACAAAATTACACGTTATCAGACTTACAGTTATTTCTACAGTATGTTACAATGTATTTTGTTTGTGCTTCTTTTAAAAACATTATACAGTACTTGCATAACAACCTGTCGATGGCCTATATTTTTCGACAGTGTTAAAATTAAGCGCATATCGTTTAGTTCATCAAAATATTTTTTTCATGCTGTAAAATCTCTGTAATGCTTCCTTTAAACATAATTCACTGCGAAACAACTAGCTTGAGATTATTTTGCAATTGTTGACTTTTCGGTACGTGACGGTCCTAATGTATAACGCTGTGAAAAAGAAAAAAAAATTAATAAAAGTTTACTTGTTTTTAATAAAAAGTATTTCTGTTACTTTCAGGTACCAATGTTTAATGTTTTATCATTCTTGAGCTGTTCTATGCAGCGTGAAATAGAAAAGCCTAATTCTTCATTGTACATTACATCCACGAAAACACAAAGTATTGACTTGTATTAAACAATGATTTCATAAAATCCATTATTTTACTTTGAAAAGTTTTATATTCAGCAAGCTCACGTCTGTTCTTTCGAAAATATAGAAAATCTTTTACATTAATTTTAGAAACAAAGATATTCAACAATTTCAAGTTAAAGAAGACACCTTATATATTGTCAAGTCCTTTGATACAGTTAGTATTGTTCAATTAGATTACTAGGTTCAAAAATTACTACGATGGGCGAAAACCACGTACTAGGTTATCCAACTTTTTCGAAAATTTCGATCCTAAGACTTCTTCTAATTTCTGTTCCACTCGATTTTCCACCGAAATAGGTATCTTACGTAGAGGTTGTTGTACCGGTTTGACGTGAGGACCTACAATAAAACATCAAGCCCGATCGCATTAAGACTCAAATTTAATTTAAATACGTTTAGCCATTTCTTTTCATTTGTACGAGGAAGATGTCACCATTAGAGGCGATATAAAATGTGGCAATTACTTCTGACTTTCCTTTAACTTGGTACAATCGAAAGTTCGTTCTGTTGTTAATTTTCGTCACGCGTAAGGTTTCAAATAATTTATGTTTTATTAAGTAATTCCCAATCTTGATCGATAATTACACTAACTCTTGCTCTAGAATCGACGAGCGTAACACCTCCTATAAATTCATCTATTTCGTTCTCACTAACTTTCGTTATCGCACACGTATTGATTAATCGAGCAAAGATTTATTTCACATTGTTGATAAAATAATATTTTATTAATTACATGTGGTCACACTACGAAAATTAAATTTGTTGTATTATGCTTATTTTTTGTTTGAAATCTGTGGCGCGCATGTGGCCGCACGATGGCGCTTTACGTGAGAATACTGGTCGACCGTAGGGGAAGCCCCAAGTGAAGCTCGCCACGCGCTCGCGGGAAATCTCGTGCGTGTATATTAATATCGAAACAATTTTACAATTTTGCTGTATGATTTATTGACTTAAATAAATTACATTCTATATCATTATCGGACCACAAAATTTATTATTAATTAACAATAATGCTGAGCTTTAGAATATATCGTGAAACTGTTTACGTAATTGACAGAAGTATTTGTCGTTACTGAAATTTATAATATAATATTTTAGCAAAGTCTAATATGTTTTAAAGAACATACGTGTTTTTAATACTCTAAAATGAATTCTTTTCTAAATAACAAACAAGGTCGCATGAATTATCTTTTATTGTATCAGTTTTATATCTGTGTGTTTATGCAATAAAACTCGCTTAATTATCAAATGCCTCGATCCCTTTCTATTAATTAACAAGCTTGTAATTCCTTAGTTTTGAAAGTATCAGATTTTACTTTTCATTCGCAATTTCATCTTGTTGTAATTTTTTTCTGAAATGTGTTCCTTATTAATTACACTTTCGTTTAAAATTATGTAACTAATGTTAATATATTGAAGATCGATGCAACATTATAAATGATTGCATAATATGTTGCTCGTAAAGCGAGGTGTGAATCGCGAAAGAAAACTTGCTTGTTGATAATAGATTGTGAGATGGCGTCAAACGATGTAGGCGCTCAATGACGAACTACTACTTAAAAATTCATCATTTTTTTCAATATTCCATCTCACGCATTTAATTCTCTATTTATTCGATGCAAAAATTTTACGAATTCGAATTATAACGATCAATTGCAATCCCACTGAGTTATATTCTGTAATTGTACATACCGCAACACTTGATTAAATGCGATCGAGAGTTTCCTATAATCTTGTTCACCGAACATCAAATTAATATGTCCCGTATTTCTACGAGTGACACAGGTCATATTAATTTGATATTCGGTAAACAAGATTATAGGAAAACCTCCATTGCGTTTAATCGAGTGTCGCGGAGTGTATTTCTTTAACATAAAAATTTACTTATAACACTACCAAGAGTCTTTAAAATTATATGATAAAATACATCGTGTAAAATTGATTTCGGTATTTAAAAAAAAAAAAGAAAAGGAAATATCGCATAGATAAGTATCAAAAGCTATGATACATGTAATTTAAGATTGAACTTTTACTCCGAATTTTGCAATCATCATGTATATATTTTGAAACAGTGATCGTGTAAAGAACAAAACGACATACGAGTAATGATATAAGAGGCGTTTATACTTCCCCTTAATAACGTGTAACAGTTGAATAAAATATATCTGAAAAAAAATATGATAAAACAATATACACCAAGACGCCATCGAAAGAAGTCGCACGCAGGTCCTTGTGGCAAGTAACCGAAATACTGATGAAAGCCTGGAATTAATATACGCAGTACCACGGACACCCAACATCGCAGAAGAACTGTTGTTAGAAGCCAATGTTCGTCGCTACAACAACCGCAATACCGGCTACGAAGTTATGGCGTGTCATCGGTTCATGGTGATGGCCAAATGCTACTGCCAATTAACAACAATACCAACAGTCAAAATAACAGTGACGAATCGGCTAGCGGGGTACCAGCGACTGCTACCTCAAAGCTGACGCATTGGCATAGTGCCTCGTCCCAACAGAACAACACGGATTCTGAAACCCTACCTCGTCGCATCCTTACTTCCATTTCAACCACGATCTCGACCCCGATCTCAACTTCAATCTTGACCTCGACCTCAAACACGACGAAAAATCATCAACGTTCCCATCTTCTTGGCCTCCAGCGTCAATAACAAGGTATGACAGTACTAAAGTTGCAGATTCCGCGGTTCCCGCGTTCTTGCAATCAACAGACCCTAGACTTGGAAACTTCCGTTCTCATTGGAAATGTAATCGCCCATTCATTTCTAACGCATTATTCCTATAAAATGATGCGGTCAGACATATTTTTTAAAAAATATTTACGCGAAGGTAGAATTAACATTAGAATTAAACTATTCCACAGGTTACGACGACACACAAATCAGTCACAATTCTGATCGAATGACGCTTTAGCATATACGATTACGGACAGAATTAAGTGGACGGGTAAAGGAAATAAGTATAATTTAAATTTAACCAAAGTAGTATAACTATTATGGAATTAAGTTTCATATATTATACAGGGTGTTCGGCCACACCTGGGAACAATTTTAATGGGAGACTCTAGAGGCCAAAATAAGATGAAAATCAAGAATATCAATTTGTTCATTGAGGCTTCGTTAAAAAGTTATTAAAAAATTAAATTAAACAATTTCAAATCATTCACGGAAAAATTATTTTCGATTGCGGGGGTCTATTACTATCATTTTTTGGTGAATAGACATACCCCCGAAATCCTATCCACTTTCGAGAAAAAAATTCAATAAGTGGACAAATTTTTCGTCGAAATTGAAAAATTTCAAATCATTGTAAAAATATTATTTTCGGTTGCGAGGGTCAATTACAATCATTTTTGGTGAATAAACATACCCCCGATATCCTGCGCATTTTCGAGAAAAAAATTCAGTACGGGCGGAACTTTAAACTTAATAACTTTCTAACAAAGCCTGAATCAACAAATTGATATTCTTGATTTTCGGCTTATTTTGGCCTCTAGAATCTCCCATTAAAATTTTTCCCATAAAGATATTATAATATATAAAACTTAAGTGTATAATAGTTATGCTACTTTGATTAAATTTAATTCGTACCTATTTCCCCTACCTGTCCATTTAATTTTGTCCGCAACTGTAGTAGGCATACGAAATTCGAATTTGGGACGTAAAACGTCAGACGAGTTCAAATGGGACCGAACATGCTTTGGTCCCTGAAACAGTTCAGGTGGTCAAGACGTTACAGTTCGGGGAGCCAGAGTCTCGGTTTCAGGGTTGTTACAAGCCTGGAAAAACAACTGTAGAAATTTGCTAATTTTTGGCCTGCGTGGCAACGAAAGTTCTTTGCAGGATGTGTTTCTACAATTCCTGGCAAGAAGTTCTCGATCGGATGCATTGTATGAAATTGACGAGAAATATTTACGTTCTCGAATTATTAAATGTTATTGCACATGATTGTAAATGATCTAAAGCTAAAAGGCACTCAATTTGAAATAAATAACAACCAAATCACACAAACTTTCATTTACTAATTTTTAATTTTATATTGCTAGAATACAGATACGATGGCACGAAGATAACTATTTGACCCATAATCGAAAGCCTTTCTCTAAAATTTCTATCAATCGAAAACTCTTTTCCATTTAATAATTTCTTTGCCTCCTTCCATCCTTTTGATGCTAAATTAAAGTTTGTTTCATTCTCTTCTTATTCGCATTATATTAAACCCTTATTAGTATTCTATCTGTTTTAACTATGTATAGTAATATATTATGCCACAAAAACTTGATTATTCTTCGTAAATTTCATAGCAATGCATCTGCTCGACATTTTCATTGTTCGTTATTCAACTTTGTTGAAAATTGCTACGTAGTATATTTATATAAAATGTGTATGTATATCTGTTGATATACAGGGTGTTCGGCCACCCCTGGGAAAAATTTTAATGGAGCATTCTAGAGGCCAAAATACGACGAAAATCAAGAATACCAATTTGTTGATGAAGGCTTCGTTAAAAAGTTATTAACGTTTAAAGTTCTACCCATGCTGAATTTTTTTCTCGAAAATACGCAGGATTTCGGAGGTATGTGTATTCACCAAAAATGATTGTAATTGACTCCCACAACCGAAAATAATTTTTCCAGAACAATTTGAAACTTTTTTTTCGTCGAAAAATTTAGGCACCTAATTAGATTTTCGGTAAGGAATTTTTTTCTCGAAAGTGCCTAGGATTTCGGGGGTATGTGTAATGATCAAAAATGATTGTAATCGATCCCCGCAACCGAAAATAATTTTTTTAGAATGATTTGACAAATTTTTTTCTTGTCGAAAAATTTGTGCACCTACCCCATTTTTTCTCGAAAGTGGGTAGCATTTCGAAGGTATGTATACTCACCAAAAATGATTGTAATTGACCCCCGCAACTGAAAATAATTTTTTCAGAACGATTTGAAATTTTTTAATTTAATTGTTAATAACTTTTTAACGAAGCCACAGTCAAAAAATTGATATTGTTGATTTTCGTCTTATTTTGGCCTCTAGAATCTCCCATTCAAATTTTTCCCAAGGGTGGCCGAACACCCTGTATATACATACATATAACACAACAACCAGTTTTTTTACTACGTTTTTTTACTACCTCTTTACCAAAATATGAAGGTTCGCTTCCGGTTTCTTAAACGAAGCACACAATATTTTACATCGGGAGCGAAAGTATCGAATACGGAGGAAAGAAAAATTAGCTAAAGTTAACTGTTACAAACATGACTTATAACTGTTACTAAACATAGCTTGCAAGTAAGTTTAAAAATTAATCAAACAAGTATTGTATGCATTTTTCAGTCTCATTGTCAAATATACGTCTATGTATATGATTTGCCACAGCATCAGGAACCGTATGGTAGACTTTGAGGTATCGTGAGTATCGTGTACAGTGTTTGTATACTGTAATACTTTTTGGATTCAACACTTTTGCTGTTTCAGAAATGAAATTCTCAACGTTCCGTTCAAAGAATTCCATTAATAAACACTAAATAACGACAATTTCGAAGAATCGATTATTATTTTACACGTCACGTTCGAAACAATACGATTTTCGATTCAACGATCTTTCGTATACAACAAACAGTTTACAAGTAATTTAAGATCCTCAAGTCATATTAGTAAACATAAAATAATGGACAACTAGAAGTTATTTCATAGAATCTTAACTTTGAATTACTCATTTATTGGAAGGTTGTATTTATGGCTATTATTTATAAATACTTGTTACATATTTATATTTGTCCTCATTAGTACGTACAATATGCCTGTTAAGGAATGACTCTGGAAATTCTGTAACTAATGTATTATAGTATCTATTTACCTGTAGTTGATTGATAAATTAGTTAGTAATATTTAGTTCCTTAATGCAACGTTGTCCAGTGTATGAAACGCTCAGGTGCCTGCTTCCCCTTCTAACTTTTCTCTCGTGCAGTATACCTTTGTAGTTTAGAAAACCAGCAGACGCCCGCGCGCAACTATAGTATTGCCCCCCTTCTTGCATTCAAATTTCGGACTAAAAAATTTCATATTAAGAGATCTTAATGAGCCTTTATGCAGTATACTTCGTACTCGAATTTAAACGTGACGTTAAAATGGAATTTCAATTGCACAGTTGCTGGCCAATGGTCGCTTGAACCAAAGAAACATATTGGCAGGGATAATTAAAACGCATGTATCCCTAATGCATATTGATGCAAGAAGCGAAGCAGCCTTTTATTATATTCAACCGCGTCTTTGTACCATGGTAATGGCGGACAATGACGGGAATGACATTTGAGTCCCGGGATTCAACTTTGGACAGCGCTGCTTCAATGTGTCAAATACTTATTTGTCTTATATCTAATTCGTTATATGTAATGAAGCATCGTGACTAATGTCATGTCGCTCATTGTCAGTGTATCACACGACAGTTCTTGTTTCTAATTCAGTTCTTTCTCTGAAACGTATCTTGAAATTTGCGGACTATCTATAAATTATCATCGTGAGATCATCAACAAGCTAAATATAAATGTGTTATTTCGTTTATACCAGACAAAGACCTATCTTGCTTTGGTTTTAAAGTATTAATACTCTCCTATCTCGTTCGGTAGTTTGTACCTATCCTATAATATATATTGACATTATCATAATAAACTAATGTATACTGTAATTAAAAGATAAAGATGTATGTTTACTGTTTACATTGAACACTGTCTAGAGTGTGAACCATCTTCGCTTTCTTACTCATTGTCTCGTGTAAAAAGATAGTCAAGGAAATTTAACTTATTGATACAAAAATAAAAGATTCACTCTTTAAAATTACTCTAGAAAGAGTATTGTATGATTTTTTTTTTTCACGAAGTTACCATAGTTCAAAGTAGTATGAGACTTCGTTTACGAGATATAAGTTGTAAAATTGTTATGTTTAAGAACGTTATGACACATGGGTAAATGTGTGCATGTAGGAACGCGTAAATTATATTCCAACTAGCTAATTAACGCTTATGTCTCAAAAACGAAGCTTCCGGTCACAAAATGGTCAATTTTCACATGAGTAAAGAGGATGTTAAAAAAGTGCCAAATTTGTATCCCGTCAGGCACCTAAAATAATTATAAGGCATCATTCTACAGATTCTGCACCTCGAATTGTGCACAATTGTTTATAGCAAATATGATGGGTAAGTCGTGAAAAATGTGGTCGAAGTTGACGATGCTACGAAAGACAAATCATAACTTTCTGACTTCAAATAACTATAACTTCGAAGTGAATACATGAAACGTAATAATTCCGATGCTATTTTGTAAAGAAAAGTCAATATTTATATAATATGCAAGGAAATGTTGCTCAGATTGTTGGTTAGTAACAATAAAACGCAACAAATTAAGATAATATATTAGGATGCAAATATTCCTCAAAATATGTTTAAGTGTATGCTGGAACTCAGTTCTAAAACGGGTTGGAATGCATTCAATATGAAGAACTATTTTATATTTCATCCTCTTCTTCAGATGATGATATTTCTTCGATTAAGTATCTGTTGAGGAAGTTGGCAGGTGAATGTATGGATGTTTGATTTCGCACAAATCCGAAATACCATAATACTGTTGCAATATGTGAACAACACCCCACTACACTTTGGCCTATTTTACACTCACAAGTAGTCCAACAATTGCAGCAAGTCCAACCTTACTTTTAACGAACTCTGTAAACTGCAACCAAAGATGCTCCTTTTTCTTGACAAATGACTTCTGTCAATGTTCAGAAATACTTTTGAACTCTGGGTACTGCTTCACAAAGCAAATCTACTTCTGAAAAAGTGCTGCCACCCGTGCTATTGACATTTCTGTTTCGATAGCATCCCACACAATACCAATTGTCATTGCACTGCCGGTATTTGTTTCGAGCTAACTTTGCAAATGACTATCTACAAATTATACAGTTTCTCTCCATTTTACACTATAACGTGCGCTACAATACACTACAAGAATTACATTAGCCTACAAAGTACAACCACACAAATCACACTAGACTCCAA